GACACCACCTGGGGGAAGAGGCATCAGGATCCCGCAGGCCCCTGCTATCCCCTTCCTCTCCCCCCCTTGCCCCTTCTTCTTACTCGAAGGAGGAGGCGAAGTACTTCTTAACGCTGTCATCTTGGGTAAATTCCACCCCACTGTCTCCGGGCAGTTCCTCCACCCTCCAGCCGTCCCCACCGTGCTCCACGTCACACCAGCCCTCCAAGTCCTCTGTGGGGACACAAGAGCCCCACCCTGGTCACAGGGCCCCTACTTGAGGCTGTGGCAGGGCTGGCTCTTGCCTTGGTAGTGGGAGGCAGAATGGGTGTGGGTACTTCTCAAGGTCTCAGTGGGCAGAGGATGAACGATGGGACTGTAGGCGCTTCCTCATTCTACCCCGTCCCCGAACCCAGAGTCCACTGGGCCTGTCCATCCGCAGTTCACTGAGAGTGGATACCCTAGGAAGGCTCTCCAGGGAGCAGAGGATTGTTCTGGGCCGGATATTACACCGTGTTTCATCTCATTTAAACTTTAAGTGGGCTGGCACCAAGGGCCGTTTTCTAGAGGGGGCAATGAGCACTCCGGTGTGTGGCCCTCACCTTCCCCGCACGGGTTACGCAGCAGGTTGCGCCTCCTCTTGCTCAGAAAGTAGAACTGTTGCCAGTGGTCCCGCTCATCATCTGCGCAGCCCTCGGGCACCAGCCCCTCCTGCTGGCACTTGAGCAGCCACAGTGGGGCGCCGTCCACCAGCTCCTTCCAGCGCAGGCACACCAGGCGGCAGGCCTGCACCAGCTCCGAGGCTGGCAGCTCGGCCAGCACGCGCAGCAGCAGCGGCTCCGGCAACTGGGCCAGGTACTCGACCGCCTCGGCCTCTTCCTCCTCCTCCTCCTCCTCCCGGGGCTGCTCCTCCTCTGCACTCGCGTCGGCTCCCGCCTCCTCTGGCTGCTCCTCTGGGCTCACCTCTTCGGGGTGGCTCCCATTCTCTGAGAACCGGGGAGCAAGGGGAAGCTATGACTCCCAAACTGTCCCCCTCCACGTCCTACTCTGAGGCAACCACGGCAGGGGGCCAGAAGTTCTTAGCGGGGATTTGCTGGCATTGGCCTATAATCCCAGCACTTAGGAGGCACAGACAAGTGTATCTCTGTGAGGCCAGCCTGGTCTACATAGAGAGTTCTAAGAAGGACTAGTAGTTAAATTCTCTCTCTCTCTCTCTCTCTCTCTCTCTCTCTCTCTCTCTCTCTCTCTCACACACACACACACACACAGAGAGAGAGAGAGAGAGAGAGAGAGAGAGAGAGAGAGAGAGTTAGTTCTGTGGCTCTAAACTGTGCCCAGGAGGGAACCCCACGAAGGTAGAGCCAAAGACACTCCCCCTAAACCAGAAGAATTGCTTCAGCTGCAGCTTCCCCCACAGGGCTAGTAGGCACCCACAGGTAGGTATCTGGGGTTACTGATGATCTTGTACTTGTGGGTCAGTTCTCCTAAGTACCCTCCCAGACCTCTGGTCCTTGCCTCCTCCGGGGAGCCTTCTTGGATATACTTTTAGCACACTCTCTCCCAGCCCACACCCAAAGGCATTCACGATGTCTGTGTATAGTGGACTTAGCACAAGAACATGGCCTGGGAGACACTGCTTTCTTCTAGTGCCTAGCCCCTCGTGTGGAGTGGGGAGCTACTGTATTTTATCAGCACTTAGCAAGCAAAAGTTACTGCTGGGAGCATCTGAATTACTTCCTAAATCTTCAAAGCATCTATTTTATGAAGGGAAAGGGAAGTGACAAGGTCCAGGACCACACACAACTTATAAGTACTTGGAGTCTGTGTTTGAACCCATTTGGTCCAACACAGGAGCCAGCTTTAAGAGCCGCGGTGTTACCAAAAGAATGTTTTTGAGCCAAGCAGTGGTGGCGCATGCCTTTAATCCCAGCATTCTTGAATCCCAGCATACTTGAAGCAGAGACAAGTGGATCTCTGTGAGTTCGAGGCCAGCCTGGTCTACAGTGTGAGTTCCAGAACAGCCAGAACTACACAGAGAAACCCTGTCTGGAGGGGAAAAAAAAAAAACAAAGCAAGCAAAAAAAGAATTGGTTGCATTAGTATTCTGATCTTGGTTTTGATACTGTGGATGAAAATGCTCAGATTTGAAGGTGTGAAGTGAATTGGTATAGGTCCCACTGGCAGTATTAGGGTAGAAGACCCAAGGACTCAGAATGGAGAGAATGGGCTAGCAATTGGGCTGTCCCGAGCCAGCCAATGTTGCATAGAGTGGGGATGGGAAACCAACAGGGGGAGAGGTACTGGGTGATGGGGGAAGGGTGCCCCCTTTCCCATCCCTCACCCTCAGCCTCCTCATCTGTGAAATGGAGTCGGCATTGTGCTAGACCATCAAATTTATACTGATATTCACCCCGTCCCCCACAGAGGGGCAGGGCATAGGGACAGCCACTCTTGCTAAAGTCAGAACCCCATGGTGGGGGCAAGGCCCCAAGAAGAAAGCAGTATCTCTCAGGCTGTGCTCTCGAGGTCAGCTCACTGCACACCCAGGACGGTGTAGGCAGTAGGTATCACTTGGATCTGAGCCTGCCTCATCTGGGCCATGGAAGCCTTGAGTAAGCAGACACTAAGTGCCTGGTATCTCTGAAGGAGAGAGGGCCAGTGGGGAGGGGACCCAGTCACCCCGGGGAATGGAGGTCACTTCTCTCAGAGGTCCTGAAGATTGGGCCCTGAAAATCCAGAGCAGTTGGGGAGCAGGCCTGTGGCAGGGAGGGGACAGGTGGCCTATTCCCCAAACCTCCCATGCGATGCAGCCAGCAATCCCCACACTGCCAGCATTGGAAAGCTGAATCAAAATTTACCCTCTTTCTTTAGAACACACAGAGTTCTCTATCAACCATGGTGAATCTTACACACACACACACACACACACACACACACCACTTTCCCTGCATTTCTATGATTTGGGGGGGGGGCTTTTTTCATATGTAGGGGTTTACTCCTCTGTTGGCATAGGGCATTATCAAGCAGTGAGGGAAACGGCCTGTCCATCCTGTTTCCCACAGCTCTCTGGAGAGCTGGACCCAATGTCCTCACCTCTCCACCACCACCCCAGCCCTGCCCTGGCCCCAGCGGATACCTGATGCTCCCGGAAAGATGCACCTCACCCAGTCCTCTCTCCTGGCCCCTAGGCCTGGCATTGGGGCCCCAGATCCGATTACAGCCGCCCCCCCTCTGCTCTCTCGCACACAACTCGCCACATTGTTGCTGTAGGAAAGTTATCTAACCCTGGACGCTGACCCCACGCTGACTCACTCACCTGGATTGGGCCCCTGAGTCCAGGGACTTCCTGGGCCCTAGGGGAAAAATAGGACCCTATTCTGGGGCCCTGTAGATGATGTTGGTGGAGAATTGGGAGTTGGAAGGCGCTTCAGTTATGGAAGGTGGCTTGGCCGCCTTAGAGGGCCTCGCCTCTCCTAAAGAGTGGTTTGTGAGGAAGGGGTGGGGGTCATGGCAGGCAGCTCTCTAGCCTGACTCAGCAAACAACCACCTACAGGCCCAGCAGGGAGCTGGAAGTGGGAAGGAGTGGGGTCTTTGGTGCCAAAAAAGATGACTGGACAATCCTTGAGGACCCAGAGCATCCGCCAAAAGTAGCCCAACTACCTACTACTCAGCCCTAGCTTGGTCCCAATGGAGCAGACCACTAACCCGACACAAGGCGGCCCCTCCAAAGGAGGGCGTCCCTCAGGAATCTGGTACGGATGAAAAGTGAGGCTGGTGAGCCCAGGACCCGGCGGGGAGTCCGGAGGCTCATGAGAGAGGGAGGGCAGGCAGAACTAGCAAATGGAAGAAGTTGATGGAAACTAAAGCTTGCAAGAGCCCGGCTCTCAAACCCGAGGAAGTCTGGAACCTGGGATGCCAGAGTCCTCCGATGCCATTTTGGAGACCCAGGCGTCCTCCTCCCTCCACACCAAGACACCAAGCAGAAAACTGCTCCCTAGACTGTCTCCGGGATTTTGCTGTCGCGAAAGTTTGAGCGCCGGCTGGGGCGCTCGTCCTCCCGATCTCCCCGGTCTGGCGCGAGCGAGCGGGGCCGGCTACGGCTACCTGGATCACCATCTCCATCCATCGCTGCGGCACCGTCGACAGAGAGGAACCCGAGCGCTGCGGGTGGCGAGTCCTGGAGATGCCCGCGTCAGCCTGGTCCGTGCCACTGCGCCTCTTAAAGGCCCCGCGCGCCCCGCCCAGCCTCTGACCCCACGCTGGGGGCCGGGAGCCCCGCGCCCCCGGAGCCCAAGGTGCGGCTTCCAGGAGGAGCCGGGTACTGGGGAGGGGCACCCACGGGCTGGGTGGGCTCCCCGTGCGCCTGGAGGGTGACTGCGGAAGGACACCAGGGGTCGGGCATCTGGGGAGGAGAGAGTGCGGGCGCCAGGCCAAATGGAGTTTGGGGGTATCAGCGACTTCCCGCCCCCCAGGTAATTTTCCTACGTTGCGGTGGGGGCACGTTCCCGGAGTGCGCCGGTGAGGCGGAGCTTGAAGGAAATGTGGGCGGGGACTTAAGGGCAGTGGGCGGGGTCAGCATTGGCAGAAAGGCGCAGTTCCAAGACCCAGCGTTGTTGTGCAGCCGGATCAAAGGCGGGTGACAGAAGAAATGGGGTGGGGAGGAGGCGTGGTCTGCCCAACAGTGGACGGATCGCACCCCGGGCCACCATTGGCGCGGATGGATCAGCCCCAAGAACCGGGGGTACGGCGCAGCGCGGCTAAACGCGAGTGACTAGGAAAACCGGGAGGCTGAGGGACCGATGTTGTGGGGCGGGGTTGGGGCGGGGTCTGCTGAGCGGTGGGCGGGGCCGTATTCTGGGATCTGTTCTTTGGCCAGGACCGGTCACGCAACACAACCAGGCGCTGGTGACCAAAGGAGCGGGGCACTGAGCGCCCCGTCCGGGGGAGGATTGGAGAGTAGTAGGCAGGTCTGTAACCCCCGGCCACGCAGGCCCGGGCAGTACAGCCTCACGGCCTGGCGGGATTGCACAGCTCTCCTGATCGCAGGTGACCTCGGGAGGTGGAGCACGCAGCGCGGGGACGGAGACGCAGTGGGCAGGGACCTAGCGGTGGCGAGGAAGGGTGCCGTTCTGCGATCCTGGAGGCCCAGCGCCGTTAAGGCCCTGGCCTCAGGGCTTACCCCCCACTGCACTGTGAGACCTCGAGGACCTGGGCTGGGGACGCCATCGGTCCTCAGAGGTCTATATCTCATCTTGAGCCGATAGCGCATTTTAGGGCCACGCATAAGAAATGAGAGACTACCGGGGCCCTGGGCGGGGGAGGGCAGCTTCCGCTAGAGCCCAACCACCGGGGTGCGGGAGGGAGATAGGAAGGCTCCTGTCCACCCGCCCACCTTTCCCCAGTTTCAGGTAAGCGGGTCAGGTTCTCTGAGATCTTGAGAACGTCACTGAGCCTTTTGTACTCCGTGACGGGTCCTGAGACAGTGATAACCCCGCTCATCATCTCTCGCCTTTTCCCCTGGGGGGATGGGAGAGGATGAGGAGTGGCAGACCGGAGCTCACAAGGCCTCCCATTGTTTTCCTCTTCTTAAAAGACTGCCGGCCTATTGAAAATGGCTGGCTCTGCCTTCAGTAAAGTCCGGAGCTGCTTCCCCCTCCTCTCCTGTATGTGTGACCTTGGGTAGCTCCTTGGGCAGCCACAGAGCTGTCCTTAAGGGTCGGGTTGGAGGAGATCAGAGCTCACCATTTCCTGAGAGATTCCCTAGCCCACGCACCTGGAGCTGCCCCTGCTCCTAGAGGGGAGTACCATTCCCGCCCTGTTTGCTACAGAGGAAACTGAAGGTCGCTAGCGCAGCCAGTGACTGGAGAGAGCCGGTGCCAGCTGAGTTAGGACTCTCTCTATCCCTGGGCGCTGGAAATGCCCGGTGCCAGGGAGGAGGCTGGATGTCTAGCGTAGCTCTCTAACACCCACAGGGGCAGGCCAGGAGCCGCTGCCATGGCTGTAGGCAATATCAACGAGCTACCGGAGAACATTCTCCTGGAGCTGTTCACCCACGTCCCGGCCCGCCAGCTACTGCTGCGCTGCCGACCCGTCTGCAGCCTCTGGCGAGACCTCATTGACCTGGTGACCCTCTGGAAGCGCAAGTGCCTTCGAGAGGGCTTCATCACCGAGGACTGGGACCAGCCCGTGGCTGACTGGAAGATCTTCTACTTCCTGCGAAGCCTCCGAAGGAACCTCCTTCACAACCCGTGTGCGGAAGGTGGGTGCAGAGAGTTGTCTGCCTTGACAGGACACATGCTCTGTAAGGAGACCAGCGGACATGTCCTGAACACTGGTTGTGAGCCCTTTGACCATACATTATGGCCTTTATTCCTCTCACAATAATTCTTAGAAGTAGGAACTATTAATGTACACGCTTTTCAGATGGGTAGACTGAGGCCAAGGACACTGTTTGTTATAGATTATTTCTCAGCTGGGTATGCTGACACCCACGGTAGGGAGTTCAAGATCATCCTTTAGAAGCCAGTCTGGGTTACCTGAGACTCTCTCCAAACAAAGTGATTATTGCTGTTTGTATTGGTGCTAATACTATAATCCCAGCACTGGGGAGACAAGCAGAAGAAGGGTCATAAATTTGAGGGTAGCCTCTCCTAAAACCTTTCCTAGGAAAAGAAATGGTGGCTGATTGGACCGGGCTGTGCCAAAGACAAAAGTGGAAGCCACAGTCTGTTGTCCTCACTTACAGACCCCAGGTTAGGCCTGTGGGGACTGTCCCAGAAGGAATCTTGCCTAGGGATGAAGTCTCTTTTGCACTGTGGTTCCAAGAATAGGTCAGAGCCAGGCAGTGGTGGTGCACACCTTTAATCACAGCACTCGGGAGGCAGAGGCAGGCGGATCTCTGTGAGTTCGAGGCCAGCCTGGTCTAGAGCGTGAGTTCCAGGACAGGCTCCAAAGCTACAGAAAAAAAATCCTGTGTCAAAACAAACAAACAAAAAAACACAAAACCTATGCAATAGAGACAGCCTGAGGCCCAAAGCCTTCAGGGATTAGGGCACCCAGAGCCTTCTCTTTTGACGTTTATTTATGCGTGTGTTAGGTGTGTGGGGTGGGGGAGAGCTGTGAATGTTGCAGCTGCACACGTGAAAGTCAGGACACCTTGGGAGAGTCGGTTTTCTCCTTCCACCACGTGGGATTGGAAGGTGTCCATTTCACGTCATCAGGCTTGGTGGCAAGCGCGTCTACCCAATGACGCATTTTGCCAGCCTTATGTTTGCTTTTTTGAGACCGGGTCTTGCTATCTTGCCATGTAGCCCCGTCTGGCCTGGTACTCAGTACATAGCTTAGACTGGCCTTGAACTCACAGATATCCTCCTGCCTCAGCCTACTGGGATGGCAGGTGTGTGCCTCTGTGCTTGATTCTAGCTAACAAGAGGACCAAGGCTCAGAGAAGGAAAGTAATGGGCCCATGGCCACACAGCCCATGTCTGCTGGAGTGAGTAAGAGGCAAGTCTGTCTGCCAGAGCGTTCTCCGTCACCGCTGGGTCTGATCACCCAGGATTCTTCTTCCCTACGCCCAGAACACACAGGAGGCACTAATGTGCCACCTACCATGCCAAAGCACAGGGCTGGAGGGCAGCTGGGACTCCCACCTCTGAGAGGAAGCAGTACTTGGAGAAGGTGCCCTGAGGGGTCTCCTGCATGGTAGATTCTGCTCTCCCCACAGAGGGATTTGAGTTCTGGAGCCTGGACGTGAACGGAGGAGACGAATGGAAGGTGGAAGATCTCTCCAAAGACCAGCGGAAGGAATTCCCCAATGACCAGGTCAAGAAATACTTCGTGACTTCCTATTAGTAAGATCTAGGGCCTTCGGGTGGGGGGAGCCCAAGCTCTAACATGGGGTCCCATGCTGAACTCCAGCCCCTCCTCCTCCCTGACCCAGCACCTGCCTCAAGTCCCAGGTGGTGGACCTCAAGGCTGAAGGGTATTGGGAGGAGCTGATGGACACCACCAGACCGGACATCGAGGTCAAAGACTGGTGAGTGATGGGGCGAGGGTCTGGGGGGGGCCTGCCGTCCAGGCGCCCCACCCCTGCCCTGCCCCTCATCTCCCAGGTCCTCAGGGGCCCTTCCCTCTTCTACCGGCAGGTTCGCAGCCAGGCCAGACTGCGGGTCCAAGTACCAACTGTGCGTTCAGCTCCTGTCGTCGGCGCACGCACCACTGGGGACCTTCCAGCCAGACCCGGTGACGATCCAGCAGAAGAGCGACGCCAAGTGGAGGGAGGTATGTGGGCAGGGACCCCACAGGGACCAGGACACAGACCCAAACTCTGCCTTCTCTCACCTGGGTTTCTGCTCCTCTAAACCTCAGCCTCCCTTGCTTCCGCAGAGAAATAGGAGGAAGCTTCCGGCTTAGCCATCAGGGATGGAGACCAGGAAAGCCCCAATTCAAATAATATTTCCTCAAAGGATGTCTCAGTGGCAGACTGGTTGCCCAACATACACGAGGCCCTGGCCCATCCCCAGTTCTAAATAAATAACCCGGCCTGAAGACATGCCCTTGGCAGGTCCCATCACAGTTGCTCTTGCAGAAGAGCCAGATTCAAAGCCCAGCATCCACATAGAGGCTCAGACCATCTGTAACTCCAGTTGCAGGAGATCAGTCCCCTCTTCAGTCCTCTGCAGGTGACAGACACGTAAATAGTTCCTATACATACATGATGGCAAACATTGATCATATAAGATAAAGTGAAACTTAAAATATATGCGATAAAAATAAATAAAGACGCCGGGTGGTGGTGGCACATGCCTTTAATCCCAGCCCTCGGGAGGCAGAGGCAAGCAGATCTCAGTGAGTTCGAGGCCAGCCTAGTCTACAGAGGGAGTTCCAGGACAGCTAAGGTTACACTGAGAAACTCTGTCTCAAAAAAAAACCAAAATAAGTAAATAAATACGAATATAATGCTGGATAGATAGATAGATAGATAGATAGATAGATGAATGAAGGCTATGCCACCAGAAATGCTCAGTGCTGAGAAACTGAGGCAGCCATGAGTAAAGGCTAGTCTGGCAACTTAGTGAGGCCTTGTTCCAAAATGGGAAACAGTGAGAAAGGAGGGCTGAAGATAACACTCAGGGTGGAGCGCCCGCCTAGCATGTGCTGGATCAACCCCAGTATCACAGAAAAATAAAATGAAATGTTCAGGGCCAAGCATGGTGGCTCATGCCTGAATCCCAACACTTGAGTGGATGCAGGGGGATTAGGAGGCCATATATAGCAACATCTAGAGAGAGCAACATGTGCTGCCTAAAAGAGGAAGACAAAATCCAGAATGTGTGACTGCTGTAGTAATATCTAGCATCCCTACAAGAGACCCCAACTTTTGTGATTTATTTATTTGTATTTTGCCTGTTTGTGGGCCACATGTATGCAGTACCGAGAAGGCCAGAAGAGGGTGCCAGATCCCATGGAACTAGAGTTACAGGAGATTGTGAGTCAAGGTGTTGTATTGTGTGGGTGCTGGGAATTGAGCCCTCCTGATGGTAGCCAGTGCTCTTAGTCACAGAGCCATCTCTCCAACGCCCCCACCCCTGCCTCCAACTTAAATTTTACTTTACAGTGGGAATGCGACCCACAGGAAACCCAGGAGCATCTGCCCTCACCAGCACTCTCCTGAGAATAGTTTTTATAATAGGCAATGGGTTTAACAATTATATCTTGAGTTTAGCTGGATTTTAGCGTATGGTGGGTCTGTCTGGACCTGTCCACCATCCATTGAGAAGACTGCCATGGTCTTACATAAGGTCTTCCTTTTCTTTATTTGGTGGGATTAGATATAGAGCCTAAGACCTCACACAGGCTAGGCAAGCACTCTACCACTGAGGCCAGATACAAATCCTGGTGCGGTGATGTAAGCCTGTGATACTAGTACTTAAGAGTCTGAGGCTGGGGGCGGGGCACATGCCTTTAATCCCAGCACTTGGGAGGCAGAGGCAGGTGGATCTCTGTGAGTTCAAGGTCAACCTGGCCTAGGAAGAGCAAGTTCCAGGACAGCCAGAGAAGTTTGAGACAGAGAAACCCTGTCTCAAAAGATTTTGTTTGGTTGCCAACACCATACCAGGTGTCTCACGACTACCTGTAATAGTGCCAGCGCCCTCTTCTGGCCTCTGTGGATACTGCACTCACATGCACAAACATGCACACATGGATATCCAAACATAAGGACTAACATTTCAGCTCTGCTGCTGCTGTGAGAAAGCAGCTTTAGACAGCAAGTGGGTCCTGTTCCAGTAAAGATTTATCAACAAAAGTGCAGGTGAGCCAAGTCCTTGTGTACACAACAGTTGAACCTTGAGTAAAATCCAGCCCTTTCTAAGCTGAGAAACGTGATTCTAATTTTATTTTTACTTGTGTTTTGATTTATTTGATACAGGATCTCATATAGCCCATGCTGGTCTCAAACTACTACATAGCAGAAGACAGCCTTGAGCTCGGGCTCCTCCTGCCTCTGCCCCCCAAGTGCTAAGATCACAGGTTTTTGCCACCACCTGGTTTATACTGAGGATTGAGCATGGGTCTTTATGCATTTTATTCTACCGGGAGAGCACTTCACTGAGCTACAGCTTCAACTGTTTTATCCTTTTCTGACAGGGTCTCAAATATCCCAGGAGGGCCTCTAAGGCAATACGTAACCACAGATGACCTTCTGGTCCTCTGGCCTTTGCCTCCTGAGTGCTGGAATTAGAGGTTGTACCATCATGGTGCTGGGAACAGAATCCCAGGCTTCATGCATGTTACATAAGCACTTTTGATGAATCTACATCCCCAGCTCTGTTTTTTTCTTGTTATGTTGTTCCTTTTTTAATATTTATCCTCATGTTATGTGTACATGTATTTTGCCTATGTGCCTAGGAGGCCAGGAAGGGTGACAGATCTCCTGGAACTGGAGTTATAGATGGTTGTGAGCTGCCCTGTAGATTCTGGGAATCATTTCCTGGTCCTCTGAAAGAGCAGCCAATGCTGTTAAACTCAGACCCATTGCTTCCGTCCCCGGCTTTGTTGAGATGGGTCTTACATAGAAGTCCCTGACTGCTCCCCTCCTTCTGTCTGCACCCCAGGTTTCACACACATTCTCCAACTATCCTCCCGGCGTCCGCTACATCTGGTTTCAGCACGGAGGCGTGGACACTCATTACTGGGCCGGCTGGTACGGCCCAAGAGTCACCAACAGCAGCATCGTCATCGGTCCCCCGCTGCCCTGATGGCCCCTGAGCCCCAATCCTCTGAACCCTAAACAGTTGTCAGAAAGGGCCAGGCTTGGGAAGGGGGAGGGTAGAAGCCAGGCACTCCCAGACCTGTCTTTGTCCCCTAGCTGCCTCTGTAAAGCTTCTAGGGTCTGGGTCACACTCCTCTCTCCAGAGCCCAGCTCTCCAGCAAGGTGGCCCCTCTAAAGGGTGCAGTACCTGAGGTTAGGTGGATATAAGAGTTTCCATAGTTACAACAGAGAGATCCCCAAGCTCAGATGCTTGCCCAGATCTGTCTGTACCTTCGACCTTTTACTCCCTCAGGGTCCTTAGAGCAGGGACGGGTTTGGGGACTGCCTTTGATGATGCAGACACTGGGGGACAGTCTGGGGTGGAAGTTTGCTCTGCTGGCCAGACTTCAGCCTGGCTGTCAACTGTGGCTTTTGTCCTGGGTGTCCTCCTTGCTTTGGCTTGGAAGTCAGGACTGGTACCAGATAGGCAGGTATGGTCACACTGTCCTTGTCGCCAGCAAATCCCAGAAAGCCAGGTGGGCACCAATGAGTCTGAGCCCCCAAGAGGACCCAGAGGAATCCCAATCAGGATGTGGGGGGGGGAAAGACCCAGATTCTGGGGGCTGGAATGGGGAAACAGAGCAGAAGGACCTGGCCAAGTTCTCTATGGCTTGGAGATGTCCAAGCCCCAACTGTTGGATCTTCCATTCCCACACTGTCCCCTGACCCCAGGTCCACTCCATCCCTCCTACCACACAGCCAAATAAAACGTTTCCCAGCCTCCTGTGCCCTGTGGCTTTGGAGGGAAGGGTGGGTTCACGGACAGTCCTGCCTGTCCCTAAAGAGGGAGGAGTGTCGCTGCTGCCCATGCTACAGAGAGGGGCTGACCATTTCGGGATGGGGTCATGGCAGCCCTTAATCCTGGTGGATTTCTCTGCGCAGCCCAAGCAGGCTGTGCCAGGACCCACTTACTGTTGTCCCCCTGCCCAGAGCCTTACTGCTTTAGATTGAGCACAGCACACAGTAGGTGCGCAATACTCATCTGAGTTAATTATCTCACTCAACAATAAAATAGATGGGGGTGAGCTGGGATGGACCAGTTACCTGCCTTGACCAGAATTAGTGACGTCCCCTTGAGCTGCACTCTTGGTTCACAAGCCCTGACGATCGCCTCAAATAGGCACTTGATAAACGTTTGAGTTAATTAATTTTGACTAGGACCAGATAACGTTTTTGTCCTCAGGATCACTCAAAACCCAGAAAGAACCTGGACATCAGAGATCCCACCAGGATCTCTGTGAGTTCAAAGCCAGCCTGATCTACAGAGTGACTTCCTGGACAGCCAGGGCCAGGTAGAAAGGCCTTGTTTCAAAACACCAATAGGCAAAACAAATAAACAAAAAGAAAAAGCCGGAAATCGAAAAACGGCCCTCTGGGTGGGTGAGCGCGGGAGCGGATAAATGGTGGCTGGTGGTTGGGATTAGAGTCTAGGTAGCGCTTCCTTCGCAGAAGGAAGCCGGAGCCAAGTGGGAGCAGGCTGTTGAGCCGCCTGTCGCCTGGAGAGGGAGACCGAAGCCCGGAAAGCAGCAGCGTGGCGAGGGCCCCTAGGACCCCGAGCTCGTCTTCGCACCGACGCGGAGAGCCGCTGCTCGGTGCGTGACGCGAGTGGGGGCCGGGGCGGGGCGGGGCGGGGCGGGGCGACCGAGGAACTCGTCGCCAAGGTGCAGGCCCAAGGCCCAGCAGAGCTGCGGCCGCCCGGTGCCCAGGTCGCGGCCGGGTGGGGCAACGGGGATCGGGGAGGGCAGAAGGGGGTGGGGGGGGCGGAGACGGAGGTCACGCGCTCGCGGGGAGGCTCGGGCCAGACGCGACCGGTGTCCTCGAGTCCGGCGCCGGGACGCTGGGCCTGCGGTCCGTACTCGAGTGTCCGGAACGGTGGCGACACCGGCTTCTCCTTGGTGCAGAGGGCTTCAGGCGCCAAGCAGGGACGTTCGCGAGTGAGCCGGCCGGAGCCCGGCGTGGATTTTTCCACCCAGGCACATCAGGGGCACAGCCATCTCCTTTGCAAGGTGGCTTGTTGCGGGTGAAGGTGTCATTGGGGCGGAATTGCCACCAGGGCCACGGCAGTGGGAGGTCCCTACTCTGGCGCCAGTGACTAGGCAGCGATCAGGAGTTTGGCAAAGTCTTTTAATCCACATAGTTTTACCTGGGTTTTTGTCGGTTGCTTCTGAGGAACTTGGGCCTCCTAAGTGTTAGATAAGCAAGCTACCACCCGGCAGCTCCCCCTTCCTGCCTCCCCCTGCGAAGTACTTGTTCCTGCCAGGCAAGCATCCTCCAAATGAGTCACATTCCCTGCCCTGTTTACTTTTACTTTTTATTTTGAGACAGGGTATAAATTGGGGCTGGGCTGAAAATTTCAAAATTCCCTCTGAGTTATCTGGGATCATGAGGGTGTGCCACCACTGATCTTCATTTATTTATTTATAATTTTTTTTTTTTTTGGTTTTTCGAGACAGGGTTTCTCTGTGGTTTTGGAGAATAATTTTGACACTTTTTTAAAAATGGTAAGCATTTGGAAGACTGTATCAGTCTGTACCCTGCTTCTCTCAATCACCTTTTTTTCTTTAATTTTATGTGCATTGGTGTTAGCTCTCCCGGAACTTGAGTTTCAGGCAGTTGTGAACTGTCAAGTGGTTGCTGGGAATTGAACCCGGCTCCTCTGAAAGAGCAGCCAGTGATCTAAAGGCTGAGCTATCCCCGCCCCCCCCCCCCCCCCAGCCCCTGGAAGCTGCCTCTCTAGCTAAGCATTTAAATAGGGCCCAGATCCCTTGTGGTCCTTTCCTCCCCTCCGTGGTAATCACTCCCCCAGGGCAGGAGCCAGTGTGCACGCGCCCTCCGTGTTCTGGGAAAGGAGCCCTCACAAAACCACCAGCTTCCTGGGAGTTTCTGTTTCCCCGGGAAATAGGTGGAAAAGCGTTTTCCCCAGGCTTAGGCAGCTGTGCTCTTTTGAGTGACAGCTTAGAGCCCGATTCAGCCCACCCCCGCCCAGGGGCAGGTGAGGGGGCGGGAATGACCAAAAGCTTACAGACACTCCCCCATTCTGGCCTGCCAATCACGTAACGCCTAAGGCAACATATCAGCACCTGGGCCTTAAAAACGAAGTTTTACTGCAGTGACGTCAGGACTAGACACGGAAAACTTAAGGAACTGGGGAGTGACCCTGGAAGACTTTCCGGGTCAAGGGGCCAACTGGATCTAAAACAAAGGAGTTTGGGGTGAGGGGTTACGGACAGTTTCCTGTAACCCAGGCTGACTTAGAAATCTTGGATCCTCTTTCTACCACCTCCCAAGTGCTGGAATTACAAAAATTCCCTCCCAAGTGCTGGAATTACAAAAATTCACCACCAGACCCCTCTCCTAAACAATTATTTTTCAGTGTGGGGGGGCGTTTAAGAATCTTGTCTTTTTGTGGTTGTTGTGTTTTTGTTCTTTTTTGGAGATGAAGCCTTGTTCTGCTGCCCAAACTGGCTTAGAACTGCTGGGCTCAAGGCCGGGGATACAGTTCAGTGGCGTGCATGAGGCCTTAGGTTCCATCCCTAGCACTGCAAAGAATTTTTAAAAGCTTAATTTTGTTCTCGTAGCTGTTTTTGAAAACCAGCCCAGGCTGAGCTGACCTAGAATCCGAATAACCCAAACAGACTTTTTTGTTGTTCTTTTTTTCGAGACAGGGTTTCTCTGTAGCTTTGGAACCTATCCTTGGAACTAGCTCTTGTTAGACCAGGCTGGCCTCGAACTCACAGAGATCCACCAGCCTTCCCCGCCCCCCAGTGCTGGGATTAAAGGCGTGCACCACCACCGCCCGGCCCTAGCAGACTCCTTGATACCTGGAGCACAAGCCGCCCAGTCCGGTACAGCATTCACGCCACCCTTTGCCAAAGGCGGGTAGCAGGGTCCCTGCGATCTCAAGGACCCTGCCCCACCCCCACCCTATAAGTGCTTCCTCTAAGGGTTTCGGGTCAGAGGAAGACCCGCCTAGCAAGCTCTAGAACCTTGGGAGGGGAGGAGGCAGTCCTTTCGGATTTCTGCTCCGGGCTCACCGCCTCTGTCATCCTCTACCGCTCCCAGGCCTGGAAGCAGAGCTTCCTGTTGCCACCATGGTCAACATCAACGAGCTGCCCGAGAACATTCTGCTGGAGCTGTTCACCCACGTCCCGGCCCGCCAGCTGCTGTGTAACTGCCGCCTGGTCTGCAGCCTCTGGCGAGACCTCATCGATGTGGTGACGCTATGGAAGCGCAAGAGCCTGCAAGACGGCTTCATCACCGAGGACTGGGAAGAGCCCGTGGAAGACTGGAAGATCTTCTATTTCCTGTGCAGCCTGCAGAGGAACCTCCTTCGGAACCCGTGTGCCGAAGGTGGGCTGCGGGGGGCGGTTCGTAAAGGCCAGGCTGCCGTGAGAGCCTGCTGTCTACTTTCCTGAACCTCCCAGCCTTTGTGCTTGCTCTGCGGCACTGCCTGCAATGTTCCCATGTCCCCAGCACTTACCGTGCTCTTGTTCCTTGCTGTTTGGGCCTCAAACCTGCCTAGCCCCTTCATCTATTAAATTATTCTGTGCGCATGACTGGGGGGTGAGTGCATGTGGCAGTCAGGGGGACCCATGCGGATCCTTGGGATTCAACTCAGGCTTGCCAGCAAGAATCCCTTGTCTGCCTAGCCATCTTCACTCCCTGGGTGAACGCCTGAGCCAGATGTGGCGGTGAACACCTTTAATCCCAGCACTAGGGAAGCAGAGGCAGGCGGATCTCTGTAAATTCAAGGCTAAACTGATCTACAAAGTGAGTTCCAGGACAGTCAGGGCTACATGGACTCTTGTCTGTACACATCGAATGTCTGGCATATTTTCCCTGTCCCCGCTATGATTCTGGAAGGTCAGACAAACAGTGGGGAGTAGGTGTTGTCTACATTGTAGAGTACTTTGGGCCCTGAAATGTCGCTTGACTTAGCGCTTAGAATGGCCATCGTTGGAGGATGACCAAGACTCAGCCGTGCCTCAGACACTCGATCTCCCTACGTGACCGATTCCACTCAGAAGCTGCCCAGCCAGGCTGCCAGCTCAGCTCAGGACACCTAACCAAGCCACTCTTTGCCTTTTATGTGGCCCCCATGTCTATCCTTGCTTAAATCTCCCAGCACCCCGAATTCTCTCACTCTTTTCTATGTTGGGGAGCCCCCTAGAATACATGAAAACACTGTGAGCTCGTGGGGGATGGGCGAGTGGAACGGCAGAGCTCACCTGGTCGCTGGAGCTTTTCAAGGTCTGCTATGCTTAGCCTGAAGGGTGGGGGGAGTCCCTGGATCTGACCCCATTCCTGAAGGTCCCTCCCTACACAGGACTCCTGCAGCTACTAGCTCAGGGGACACCAATGTGCCATCTTGGCACTTGCCCAGGAAAAGGGTATCTAACAGTGTCGGAACAGTGGGTTCCTTTGGCCCCTAGGAGCTGGGTCACACAGCTCCCATCAGCCCTAAGGTCAGCTCCATCACAGACCCCTTGTGATCATAGTCTGTGAGGATTGAATGTGGTTGTGGGGGCCCCGTGGCAATATGAGAAGTGAGATGTAGCTCAGAATTCTCGGTCCTATTGTTTGGGACAGAGTAGGAAGGGGTGAGACTGAAGTCAGAGGTGATGCGGGGGACCCAAGGCACAGAGGATGTTCTTGGACTGGTGGGGTGCTATCCATGGCTGCTGAGTACCCTCCAGGAGAAGAAGCAAGCTGATTAATTCATAACCCCCTGAAGTCTGCCAGGACCAGAATGGGCCTCAAAGTGTGTACCTCAAGGCTGCAACTGCTGGCAGAGTTTGAAGGGAATCTCACCTACGCTTCATTTTCTCCAGAGAACATGGAATCATGGCGGTTAGACTACAATGGCGGGGATGAGTGGAAGGTGGAGAGCCTCCCTGGTGCACATGGCACAAACTTTCCTGACCCCAGGGTCAAGAAATATTTTGTCACTTCTTATGGGTAAGCAATGATGTGGAAGAGGCTGGGAGGCTGGAGGAGGCCATGCTGGGGGCAGAGAGTCGGGGGGACCCAGCCAACTGCCAGGATAAGTGGGGGCCTCTAGAAGTTCAAGGAGGGGGTCCAGGAGCAGTGAACTTAGTGGCGATTGCTGACAGTCAGAGAGAGGGTTTCAGGTAACCAGGAGCTCACTGAACATAAAGCCGTGAGCAGGAGCCAACTACACACCACTCTCCACGGTGTCCCATGGTATCTAACGCCCCATTTCCTTCATATAGACCCGAGGAGTTTCAGCCAGGGTCTGTCCATTGGGGGATGGGGAGCCCCTTGAGCCGTCTACCTGGCAAGGAAGGACCCTGTTTAGCATACTGGCAATGCAAGTCTTGTCCTCTGTCCCCAGCATGTGCCTCAAGTCCCAGGTGGTGGACCTCAAAGCGGAGGGCTACTGGGAGGAGCTGATGGACACCTTCCGGCCCGACATTGTCATTAAAGACTGGTGAGTGGCCTTTGTCCCCATCTGTGTCTTCCCTCCAGCCAAGCCACTGTGACAGTTGGTACAAAACTTCAACCGTGTTTGTAAATGGCCACTGAGACCTCCGATGAGCTAACTGCCCTGGGACCCCAGGACTCGGGCCCTCCCTGAGTTTTGTGACAGCTCACAGCCTTCTTACACAGTGCTTCCCACCCCTCCCCGCAGTTATTCCATCTTGTATTGATTTCTTTGGTGCTATGGATGGAGCCCAGACCTGTCTCAGGCTGTCGTACTCTCCACTGCTAAGCTCCAACCTCAACCCTTCCCTATTGTCCTTTCCCAAGTTCCCCCTCTGCACCTATAGTCACTGGCACAAGACTCTGGGGGCCAATCCCCTGGGAATAATGGAACAAGCTCTAAGCAGGCCATTGCATGGGTTCCCATCTACTGTACCATATGGTGAGACTTGGAAAGACATCTTCAGAGAAGACCATTTTGGTTTTCCAGCTCACACCCTTTTCTTGGATGGAAAACTGAGGCAACATGTAGATGGATGCCTCCGGACACAGGGAGTGCAAAGCTTGCTAGTAGTCATGGACAGAGGGGTACTTACAGATGGGAGCTGTCCCCAAAGCCAGCCTTTGAAAGCAGGGGTGCCCACCCTCTGCTCTATCCTCCCTAGGTTTGCCCCCAGAGCAGACTGTGGCTGCACCTATCACATCCGGGTACAGTTGGCCTCGGCCGACTATATCATTTTGGACTCCTTCGAGCCTCCACCTGTGACCATCGAGCAGTGGAATGATGCCACGTGGAAGGAGGTGAGACCCCACCTGCCCGCTCGGCCACTCGCTTTCCCCAGGGTCAGGCTGTGGAAGAATGAGGGGCAATTGTTCTGCAGTAACTACATTCCTGCTCCCCAGTCTCAATGGCTGCTTCTCTCCTCCTCCCCAGGTCTCCCATACCTTCTCAGATTACCCTCCAGGTGTCCGCCACATCCTCTTTCAACATGGGGGCCAGGACACCCAGTTCTGGAAAGGCTGGTACGGGCCCCGCGTCACCAACAGCAGCATCATTATCAGCCACAGGACAGCCAAGAACCCCGCCCCTACCAGACCTCCGCCTGAAGATGCCCTAGTGATGGGCGGAAGACACCCTTCTTTGGATGCAGAAATCCATCCCTTGGTAGACTTTCTCTGACAGCCATCTGTCCACCTCTGCCGGCAAACCCATCAAGCCGGCCTTGACATTTTGTTGTAATAAATGTTTTCAGTAAATCCAACCTGGTTTGGGGTTTACATGCAGGTGGGGTTCCGGCACCCCCCTTCCCCTGCACTCGCTTCTCCTGTTTTGGTTATTGACAATACAGTCAGCCCTTGGGGCCCCTTTATTAACAATAATTCACAACACAGTATTTCAGATGGACAGTGTTAGCCGGCTGAGCCCCAGGAGGCTGGTGAGAAATGGTGTCTGTCGTCGCGTTCTTCCCTAGCCTCCGGGGAAGGCTGCCTCAAGAAGGCAAGCAGGACCGAGCAGCCCAGCCAGAGGGGCGGCCATATGTCAAGGCGATAAGAGCACTTGGAGTCAGGGGGCCCTGCAGCACTGCCCTGGGCTGGGGCCCCCGAGTGGTGCAGCTGGGCATCAGGTGGCAGTCATGCCTTCAGCTGTTTTTATGAGCACGTTCTTCCACATAGAGCTGCATCTAGTAGAAGTGGCTTTGGTCAGACCATGAGGTATCTGCTGGCAAGACTCGGGAAGGGGTGGGAACTAGAGGGTAACCCCCAGACCTTGGGCAGCACACGCGCTAGCCAGGAATTAGCTCTGGGCCCTGAGTCTCCTAGATGAGGCTTCCTCCATCGTCTGATCCCTGACAGCTCACCTTTAAGATGTCCGATGTCATGGTTTTTAGGGGTATCAGCCGGGGATCGTGCATGTGGACGTCCTGTTCATCTGCCAGGATCCAGGGGAAATCCTAGGGATGGGATCGGTGACAGTGAGAAGGGGCCACACCTCAGTCTGTCTTCATTTGGCTAACCCTCCCCTCAAGGACCCACACTGCATTGGGGGGGGGAGCACTGGGAAACCCAGCAATTTATATTCCCAGTGTGGTGCTAAATGATTCTGAAGCTGAAGGGTAAGGGCCCTTCTCTGGAGAACTCTGTTCAGAAGAGCCAGGGTGAGCTAGCTGCTTAACATCTGGCTCCACTGTGGTTCTCACCCTTGGGTACACACGGATGTGGTCAGGTGGGTAACGTGCAAGAGAGCCCACTTGATGCCAGGCACTGCCGTAAACAAGTGTCAGCCACAGGCAGCACCCTGAAAATGGTACACATACACACATGCGTGCGCATACACACACCTTGATGACCTGTATCTTCTCCATGTTTCGAGTGGCAGCTTCTCTCGTGTGCACAAGGACTGTGAATGTGCAGCCTGCCGGAGGGATTGCTTGGTCAAGGGCAAAGGTAAGTAGTAGCCTCGGGATCCCACGGGACCAGGCTTCTGCCCTCTTCCCTCACTGACTAGGCAGAGCCACCCACAAGATGTAAAGTGTAGCCAATGGAAAAGAGAGTGTCAGCGGGAACTAGAAATACAGAGTTAGTCCTGGAGAGATGGACTCTCGGGTGTTGAAGGGCGGGGAAAGAGAGTGACTCAGGGCAGCTAACTAGGAAGAACACAGCATGCCGAGGTAACCAGGGGAACAGCGGGGGAGTGGGGCATCAGACCTGGAGGGTTGTGATCCAGGACAGCGTCACACACACTAATCTTCAGGATGAAGGCTCGCAGCAGCTGCTCCACATGAGACAGTAGGGAGTCTGAACTGGGAATGGGAAAGGAGGTCTCCCATTCTACCGTGCTCCTCCACCACCCCCAGCACACAGTGCACTCTGGAAGCAGACTGGGCCAAATACCTTTGGTGCCTGAGAGAGCCAGTCCAGGCCCAGAGAGCCAGTCCAGGCCCACCCCTGACAGAATGGAGGCAGGGTGCAGGGGTCCCTTTAGGCAGTTCTAATATTCAGCTAGCTAGAAGACACCCAGGGCACAGCTCAAGCCCCTGCATACTTTCAGGACCCCAAGACAGGAGGAGAAAGTGCTTGTTGGAGGCTGCCTAGCCACGGGACAGGCTGGATCCTGATTCCACTACCCCTACCTCGGCCCAGAGAGCAAGTAGTTGAGTAGCTACTATAGAAACCATGGCAACCAGAGTCCTTGGCTTTACAATCACCAGGTGACACCACACAGGTCACCTTTCAGGACCTTGGTTTTTCTATCTACACAGTAAGGCTAGGGACTAACAATCACCACTCCCTTGGGATATCTCAGGGATGGCACAGACTGACCCTGTCACCTCTACACTGTGGCCAGCGTGTCTCAGGTGCTAACAGTATGTATTGCCATCTCAGGGTCTTTTTTTTTTTTTTTTAAATATTTATTTATTTATTACGTATACAATGTTCTGTCTGTATGTATGCCTGCATGCCAGAAGAGGGCACCAGACCTCATTACAGATGGTTGTGAACCACCATGTGGTTGCTGGGAATTGAACTCAGGACCTTTGGAAGAGCAGGTAATGCTCTTAACCGCTGAGCCATCTCTCCAGCCCCCATCTCAGGGTCTTTACTAGGGTCATGTGGAGCTGGTAGAGGGATCCCGGTGAGAGACTGCAGCAGCCAGCCGAGGGAGGGTGACAACTCACCTGATGGATAGCAAGGGCGGCTGAGTGATCTCAAAGACAAACTTCTCCACCGGACGGTGTTCTTTATCCAAAATCACCACCACGACCTTCTCCACATCGTTCTGTAAGCACAAGAACCCCTGCTCCAGCGCTATGCACAGGGCCCAGGGAGAGGTGGGACAGGGCACTGGCTGAAGCTGCCTGGGAATCCAGCAAGCAAGAAGTGCAGGTTGGCTCCCAAGACATGGATGCTATAGTTCCATAGGAGATGCCTGGCTCCCATGAACGTTCCCCAGTAAGTCTTAGACCAGGACAAGATAGAATAGAAAAAATCCGGGCTGGAGAGATGGCTCAGAGGTTAAGAGCATTGTTTGCTCTTCCAAAGGTCCTGAGTTCAATTCCCAGCAACCACATGGTGGCTCACAACCATCTGTAATGAGGTCTGCTGCCCTCTTCTGGCCTGCAGGCATACACGCAGACAGAATATTGTATACATAATACATAAATAAACAAATAAATAAATGTATAAAAAAAAAAGAATAGAAAAAACCCAAGGGTGGCCAGTCCAGAGAGAATGGGGAACAGGAATGCAGGAATGGGGCAGGCCATGGGGACATGAGAAGGACCAGGGCACCCAGGATCACCCAGGGCACCCAGGATCACCCAGGGCAGGCCCACCCAGATCTGGCCCATTCCAGATGTGACCTACGTGCCCTGGAACCTGTTGCTAGCTGGGGGTGGGGGGGTGGGGGGGTGGAAGCTTCTGGTTGTTAAGAGATACGAGCACTCCCCACAGAGTCAGCTTAGGGCCTGGGGCCCCCTCACCTTCTCCAGCAGCGGTTTGACGCAGTGAAGCGTGTCCTGAATGTACTGGTTCAGCTCCGGGTGACAGGACATCTGCATACAACCCCACAAGGCTGTTGATGAGTGGAGGAAACCACCACCACCAACACACACACACACTTGCTGGGTTCTGAACAAACAACAGCCATTCCCAAGGCTGAGAGATCTCCCTGCCTGAGAGATCAAACTCACCATCATGGTGGTAAGAACTGTGGATAGATTTATCCCTGGAGAGACAAAGACAGGCACTCCATCTCAGCACTAGCATTTGACATTAACATTAAGAAGCTGTATAGACCCAGGCGGTGGTGGCGCACGCCTTTAATCCCAGCACTTGAGAAGCAGAGGAAGGTGGCTCTCCCAAGTTTGAAGTCAGCCTGGTCTACAAAGTTCAAGGACAGTCAGGGCTACACAGAGAAACCCTGTCTTGAAAAACAAAACAAAAACTGCATAGGGTCAGGCATGGTGACATGTGCCTTTAATACCAACACTCTCGGGGAGGCAGAGGCAGGCGGATCTCTGAGTTGAGGCCAGCCTGAGCAAGGGCTATACAGATAAACCCTACCTGGGAGGGTTGAAGGGGAAAGAGCTGTGTAGCCACAGGCAAATGACTTAACATCTCTGAACTTAATGATGTCATCTGGGAAGATCTAATAAAGGTGAAGATTGATAAGAAACTCCTAGTGCCCAGAAGGTTCCCGGTAGCACCTTCTTCTACACCTTCTGGTAGCTGTATGTCTTTTGCTACTTCCCAGAGGTCAGAGGTCATGAGTCTCAGGTTGACTGAGTGATTGCAATGGCAAAGGCTCTTGGGAGAGAGATAGCCGTCCACTCTTTCACCTTTCAAAGTTAAACCCAGGAACCAAGTAGGGTGGCGTACATCTTTAACCCCAGCATTCAGCAGGCAGGCAGATCTCTGAGTTCAAGCCTAGCCTGGTCTCCATAGAGAGTTCCAGGACAGCCACGGTCATACTGAGAAACCCTGTCTTGGAAAACAAAACAAAAAACAGGAAGCTTGGTAATGTTCCCTGGTAATCACATGACTCAGGAGGCGGGTGCAGGAGGATCAGGAATTCTAGGCCTGCCCTAGGTTCCTAACAGCTCTGAGCCCAGGCTAGGCTACGTGAGATCTGGATTTAAAAAAAAAAGGGGGAAGGGGGGGCTAAAGAGATAACTCAGCAGTTAACAGCCCTTTCCACTCAAATACCTGAGTCACATCCCCACTACCCACCTTAGGCATCTTACAGATGCCAAGGGCTCCCATGCCCTCTTCTAGCCTCAGTGGGCACCCCTACATACAAACACGCAGACATAGACACATGTACATACACACACAATACAAATCTTAAAAAATTACAAAGCTAGGCATGGTGGCTGACGCCTTTGTTCACAGCACTCAGGAGGCAGAGGCAGGAGGATTTCCATGCATTCGGGGCCAGTCTGATCTACATAGTGTAAGTCCACACCAGCCATGCCTACACAGTCAGACCACCATCTCAAATAAACAATAATAAATAATTTTTAAAATAATCTTTAGAGTTTAGGGAGAATGAGGAGAGAAAGGTATTGGGCACTGTGGGAATGCTCTGCCCAAGCCACGGTTCCCAGCCTCAGAAACCCCTTTAAAACACAAGCTTGGAATAGTTCTTATCCAGAGTCCCTAACCAGAAGATCCCATCTGAGGTCAGGACGGGAAAAGCTTGGTGGCGGTGAAAGGCAGGAGGCTGTCCGCTATCAGCCTCCGTTGGGGAGTGAGGGAGCTTGTAGGTAGAATAAAGGTTTTTAAATCCAGCCGGTCACCGGGACTCACCTGAACCGGCACGTTGTACTTCTTGCGCTTCTGGAAGATGCCCACTGGGTAGACCTCGCGCACATAGAGGATCAGGTGCACGGCCACCTCCAGAAACTCGGAGAGCACGTCGGCCACCACTGTGGAGGAGACACAGTTGATGAGCAGGGATCCAGCCAGGACCGCCCCCACCCCAACGCCCTGCAGGCCCCAGATCCCTACCTTGGCCAAAGTTGAGGTCTTGGCGCGTGAGCGTGGTCATCCTTGGCCGCCTGGGGGAGGGCGCGGAGGGTGTCAGCAGGGACCCACGGCACCCCGCCCCGCACGCGGGAAACGCAGCCCGGTCGGGGAAGCCCCACCCCCTGAGCGGCCGGATCCCTCCCGGCGGAAATCCCGCCCTCTCCGCGCTCCCCCTCCGATCGTCGGCTCGGGCTTCGGCCTCAGGTTCGAAACTTTGCTCGGGTGACAGAAGCCACCGGCCGGGACCCTCCGCAGGTCCCTCAGTATCCCCCGGCCTCAGTAACCACCGCGACGCTCCTGCGGAACCAGCGCTGCCATCGGTCACGCCCACCCCGAAACTGTCCAATCCGAGCCTCACCCTGATGGGAAAGGTGGAGCAGTCTCGGGGGCGGGGCTTAGGGGCGGAGACCCGCCTGAGCGACTGGGATCTCAGGAGAGTAAGCTAAGCCGCCTTTGGACTTCAGGTGGGAGCTATAAAGAGATTTCGGCGGCCTCTACACAGGATCGCTGTGTTTCCCCCTCCCGGGCATTTCCCTTATGTAGCTGCAAGTGAGAGCCAGCTGCAAAGCACAGCTGGGGACCAAGGGAGGGCAGCGACATCTGCTGCTAGTTCAGAGTCAGCGTCCCTAGAGTCTCAGCCTGCCCAACCGAAAGCGAATCCGCAGGCTTGGGGGCGGGGACAGGGGAGGTCCGAGAAGCACCCGAGACGCTCCACCCCCACCCGGAATCGAAGTGCTCTTGGGGCTTGACCTCCCTAAAGAATGAAATGTCCCGTGGTTGCTTCACAATAGCTGACCTGTGGAAGCAGCAGCCGAGTGCTAGGCGCCTGGGCAGGGTGTCCGTAGGTTGACTCTCTGAATCCTCAGAAAGGGTGTGGATTCCTGCCTGTCTTCTTTCTGCCGCTGAGCCTATTGAGGACTTGTCTCGCGTCACTCAGCTATCTGACAGGGCGGGCAGTAGTGCTGTTCCAGGGTTCTACCTGCAGAGGGCACGCACTGAATTCCAGAAGAGCCAAAAGGGCCTCAGATCATTTTAGTAGTATGAGAATTACATTCATAATATGGAACCATTTTATGTAACAAACCCTGATTTCCATCTATTTATGTGCGTGGGTGTTTTGCCTGCATGTATGTCTGGACACTAAGTGAGTACTTGGTGCGGGTGAAAGCCAAAAGAGGGCGTCAGACTCCTGGAACTGGAGCTATGTATGGATGGCTGTGAACCGCTATACAGGTGCTGCAAATTGAACCCCACACCCAACACTCCTTCCTTGTCCTCTGGAAGAGCAGCCAGTGCTCCCAACCACTAAGCCATCACTCTACCTTCCCAAACTGATTTATATTAATTCCTTCATTAGCCCTAGGAGCTAAATGCTGCCTTTACATCCCCACTCTATAGATCTAAAGCAGCCCATTTAACTCACAGCCTTCTATTAACAGATAGGAAACCTGAGGTTAAGAAGTGGTCTGGAAGACCCTTTCAGAGGGATCCTGTATCCGATATCCTGCATTTCATATATTTATATTAAGATTCATAACAGTAAGCCAGGCGGTGATGGCGCACGCCTTTAATCCCAGCACTCGGGAGGCAGAGGCAGGCGGATCTCTGTGAGTTCGAGACCAGCCTGGTCTACAAGAGCTAGTTCCAGGACAGGCTCCAAAACCACAGAGAAACCCTGTCTCGAAAAACCAAAAAAAAAAAAAAAAAAAAAAAGATTCATAACAGTAGCAAAATTACAGTTATAAAGTAGCAACAAAAATAATTTTATGGTGGGGGGGTCACCACAACGTGAGGAACTGTATTAAAGGGTCACAGCATTAAAAAGGTTGAGAACCACTGCCTTGGCCTCTACCCTCCAGGGGTATAAGCGTGTCTCAGTCTGTCTCCGTAGAGAATATTGCTTTAAAACATCCCTGCACCCTCCTTCCCAGAAGCTTTCAAACCTGTATTTACATCTTCCTCGCGGGAAGGGATAAATAGCAGGCCAGGGGTAGGATTAACCCAAAATATGAGCAAAGCAGCTCTCAAAATGCAGGCCTAAAAAGTCTGTATCTCAGCCCCCGGGGACCCTATTAAACCCTGGCTGCCCAGCTGCCCTGACTCCCCTGACCAGGGCAGGCTTAGAGCGGTGTTCTGCTCTTTAACAAGCTCCCTGGGGAACTTGTATGCCCAAGAAAATGTGGGAACTGCCAGCGGAGAGTGCCTGAATTCTGTAACAGGTCAGTGCTTAACCATGGAATGGCTGGTTTGGCTTTAGGGATGGATACACCTGTCAGTGGGCACAGCAACTCTGCCCACATGGCTCCGTGTCCCACAGAGCCCTTTCCTCAGAGCTGACTGGCCAACTCACTGCTTTGTAGAGCTGGGTGCAGTGAGATTTTCATCAGGGCGGGTTGGAGAATGCCAAAATCCTCCTTTATCCACCCCCCACCCCACCCCACCCCACCCCCGGCTTCTGAAGCGTTTTCATCACTGAGGTGGGTGGGGGATGGGGAGAGTATGAGGCATAGCTTGGAACCAGCTGGGGACCTCTGCCTGCAACCCTGCAGTGCCTGGGTTTTCTTTCATCTTAGTCATACCAGCGTGATGGATGACTGGAGGATGAGATTGCATTATAGAGTAAGTTATTGTTTTTTAATCCCCATTCGGTAGGAGCCTGTTTTTTCAACGTTATTTGCATGTTTTTCACCGTAAGGACACTAGTAATGGGGGGTTGGGAAGGAAAGTCACATGCCAAGGATAAAAGAAAGTGTGTATGTGTTTGCCAACTAGAGCAGGTCCCTGGGGTCCCTCAATGGGGACAGAGGGAAAATCACTTCCAAGAGATACAGAAATGGAAACAGATAAGTTAGACAAAAAAAAAATACAATAAGAAAAACGTGTGAGCACCAGCCCTGTGAAGACTAAGCCTCCACTGATGTGCCAGAGGCTTCACAAGGTATGCTGAGCAAACACAAGGAGTGAATTGGGCAAAACACTTGTCATGGAAGTGTGCAGACTCGCAACATGCTTCTCTAGCCAATGTCCTGTCCACAGAGGGGATCGATCACAAAAGTGTCATCTGGGCAGGCGAGATGGCCTAGCAGGTAAAGGGGCTTGCCACCCAGTCCTGACAACCTGAGTTCGATTCCCAGGACCCACATGGTGGGGCGGTGGAAGGAGAAAACCGACTCCTGCAAGTGTAGGCATGCTACTGTGCTCTCTCTCTCTCTCTCTCTCTCTCCCTCCCTCCCTCTCTCTCTCTCAGACACACACACACACACACACACACACAATGAATAAATAAATGTACAAAATAAAGTAATTAATAAAGGATCCACATCTTTCCCAAGTGTCTCAGGTTCCCAGCAAACAAACACATGGGGCAGGGAGAGAGAAAGGGAATCAACCACACACAGCCTGGTGGCAGTCCCAGGACACTCTGGTGCTCCCCCAGCTTCCTGGTCTACTGGGAGAAAGGACCTAGTCTGGTCTGTCTGCTTCTTTTTTTTTTTTTTTTTTTTTAAGTTTAACACCTCACCCAGCGCCTGGTCAGCTAAGGTTCTCTAAGAACACGTACGTGTTCAGTGAATGGCTAAAAGGAAGGTGGAGGAAGATATGATCGTGAGGGCTCCTGCCCAGTGGCCTGAGCTGTGCCCCAGCTTCCTTAGAAAGAAGAAGCTAAGACCTCTGATGCCAGCAAGGCCAGACTGTGGGCTGCTCCTCCAGGAGCCCACTTGTGTGTCCACTTGCTTCTCTCCACCACCTGATGCTCATCCAGCCAGGAGAGACTTTTCTTCTTCCAGCCTCAGCTTGCTCATCTTTGAAATGGGAAACTTTAGAGCCAAACCCAAAGGGTTATCTGGACATGGTGGCGTACACTGTGAATCCTAGCACTCAGGAGGCAGGAAGATTGCCACAAAGTTCAAATCAGCCAGAGTGACACAGTCTTTCTCCAAAATAAATAAGATATAGTTCTGCTTATTGGACTTTTTTATTTTATGTGTATGAATGTTTTGCATACTTGTATGTATGTGCACCACACATGTGCCCCATGCCAGCAGAAGTCATGAAGAGTACCCTCCTCTGACTCCCTGGTACTGGAGTTATGGATGGTTCTGAGTCATCACATTCATGCTTGGAATCAGACCCAGGCCCTCTGCAAGAGCAACAAATGCTCTCAACCACCTCTCCAGCCCAAAATAAAACAAAATTCTATATAAGTACAGAATGCATAAATGGTTACATAGTGGCCATGTGACGATGATAAGATCCACACAGGAGTGGGGAGTCTAACAACCTGAGTTCAACCCCTAGGGACCACATGATGAAAGAGAGCCCACTCACACCCAGTCGTCCTCTGATCCACATACAGACACACATACGCATGCATGCACAAACACAATAAGTAAAAATGAAGATTAACAAATAGAAAAGATATACACACACCATCAGGCACTGGGCACAGACCTTAAATCACAGCACTGGTAAGGCAGAGAAAAGAATAATTCTGAATCTGAGGACAGCCTGGTCTACTACGTGGAGAGTTCCAGGCCAGCCAAAGCAAGGCAGTGAAACTCCGTCTCAAAGCAAAAACCCTAGTTCGAGACCAGCCTGGTCTACAAGAGCTAGTTCCAGGACAGGCTCCAAAAACCCTACACAGACTACTTAAACCCTCAGAAGGACCACACTGGATAAAGATAAATCATCTTGCTTTTCAAAACAACGCCTTGAGGCTGGGATGTAGCTAAATTGATAGAATGCATGCCTAACATGCATGAAACCCTCAGTTTGGCCCCAGCATCTCATAACCTGGGCGCTACGACAGAACACACCTGTAAACTCACCACTCAGGCAGAGGCGGGGAGGTCAGAAGTTCAAAGTTAACTTCAGCTACAGAGTGAGTTCAAGGCCAGCCTAAGACAAACAAACTGGAACTCAAAACAAAAGATAACTTATCTATCCTTAGTATCCTCCCTTCCTCATTTCCTTTTCTCAAGGCAACAGACGGGACTCTTGGGTGCTCTCTGCAGGGAGGTGGACACAGATCCCCAAGGCAATGAGATTCATAAAGATGAGAAGTACTGCCAGGCGGTAGTGGCGCATACCTTTAATCCCAGCACTTGGGAGGCAGAGGCAGGCGGATCTCTGTGAGTTCGAGGACAGTCTGGTCTACAGGCTTCCAGGACAGGCTCCAAAGCCACAGAGAAACCCTGTCTCGAAAAACCAAAAAAAAAAAAAAAAAAAAAAAAAAAAAAAGATGAGAAGTAGTGACCAGTAGACAATCCTTTCAACCTCACTTGGCTTTCTGGAGCAGGGCCTGATGTATACAACTATCCCAGATCCTAGGACCCACTGCTGACCTCTGACCCACACCAAAGCTTCCAAAAGCTTCCACCTCAGGGCAGTGACAGAAGACAATGTCCAACCCTTTCAGATAGAACATAGCCCATACACACCAATCCCTCCGTGGATGTGCTGGCTGGTGACAGGGGCCAACCACACCACCATGTAGTATGATTAATAAAACCCAGAGACAGATATTGGGGTTCAACCTGAAGGTCAGAAAAGCAAAGGTCAGCCAGCCACTGGCTCTTACCTCTACCTCAGACTGAAAAGGCAATTCTGCTTCCAGGAATCCTCAGAATGAGACTGAGTTGGGTGCTATCTCTTCCTGTTTTATATTCCTCTCTAGGGCTGGGATTAAAGGCATGTACCACCACCTCCCGGTCTCTATAGCTAATTAGCATAGCTACTGAGATTATAAGTGTGTGCCACCACTGCCTGGTCTGTATGGCTGACCAGTGTGGCTGTTTTACTCTCTGATCTTCAGGCAATACAAATTATTAAAATACAAATGAAATATCATTACACTTCAATGGGCTGTGAGGCTAGCTTT